AGGGCAAAAGCAGGTTTACAATTGTGAGTATGTGAAACACAAAGATTATTTTTGTATTATTTATTAATTATTCTATTATATTCTATATAAGCAACTGTAAATGTACTTTTGCCCCATCCTGTGTGTGACATAATAAGAGTTTTAATAATAACTACAATAGCAATCAAATTACAATATAAAAATGTATCAATTCAACATGTTGTATGCCTTACATTTATACAATGTCATATGTCATATTTTTCAATTAAAAATTGTTTTAAGTTTACAGAGATAAATAAGATATAGCCTTCACCCTCTAGGAGCTTACAAATAGAGAAAATTCAATACACATAATACAAAAAAAAAAGAGATGAAATGAAAAAAAACCCTACTGTGAAGGCAGCATGCTAAATGTCTAAGTTTGACTTGGGGGATTTAGGGGTGCTTTCCAGAAAAGGCAGTCAGCCTTGAAAGATGAGTTTTGATAACAAGAAAAAGTAAAGGGAGTTAAGAATCAGTAAGTAGGCGAGGGTCGGACGCTGAAGCCACCAGTCAGCAACCCTAAGAAATCTGGATGAAAAAATGTCTAGGCACTGGAGGAAGCACTTCAAGTATTTTTAGAAGAGGAGGTGTTTTATTTTATCTGAGTTTTAGATCATTCTCCACAGCTTTGTGGAGGATGGATTGGAAAAGAGAAAAACTAGAGCCAAGACTAGTTAGGAGGTCACATGATAGTGCAGATGAAACGTAATGGTGATTGGTTCACTTAGTTGCCTGTCTGTTAACTAAAACCCGGGCTCCATGAAGGTAAGGCCTCTGCTTTGTTCACTGCTATATCCCCAGCACTCAGAACAGTGCCTGACATATATAGTTCACAAAATATTTGTTAAATAAATAAAGAACTAAATTAGCGAAGGAACATATGAATGAATGAATGAATGAATGAGTGAGTGAAATAAAACAATGCAAGTGCAGAAAAAAGGACAGAAAGAGACATTTGCCTCGGAGATGAGTTCTCTTTGTCTATGGACACATGCCATAGCTGGCTCCTTTTCGAGTGCTGGCAACAGATGAAGTCTGCTGGAAAACCTCCCAGATTTGCCTGTCCGTGCTCATCCCAGCATCTGTGGCATCTGTGCCCACCATCTTCCCACTATCTAGAGCAGAGGTTGGCAAACTCTGGCTCCTGGATCAAACTGGTCCTGCCACCTCTTTGGAGTGGGGGGCGGCTTGTAAATAAAGAACAAAAATGGTCGGACTGGGGAAGCAAGAGAAGAATGATGCTTTGTGAAATACAGGAAATTACATAAAATTACAATTTCAGTGAAAATGACATGAAATTAAATTAACTTTCATTGCAACACAGCCATGCTTATGTGTTTACCGTGTGGTCACTGACCCCTTTGGCCCTGGAGCGGCAAAGCTGAGTAGTTGGGACAGAGACTATATGGCGGCAAAATCAAATCTGTTTACACTTTGGTCCTTTACAGAAAACGTTTGCCAACCTCTGATCTAGAGGAGCTCATAGGAAAAGATAGGAAAGCTCACAATAATAAATAAATCCTTCATTAGCAAAATCTCCCAAAATATATATTTTAAAATACAATAGGTAAGACGAAGCATCAAATTACAACAAAAAACCAACAAGAAAGGGGAACAGATACTACTAATATTAGCCGCATATCATGTGCCAGCTTCTCTGCTAAGCACTTCTTGAAATAAAATTGATTTTCTCCTTTCCTTCCCACAAAGCTGCAAGGCAGGAATCACTTTTCTCATTTTGCAGAGGAGGAACCTAACATTCAGAGGCTGGATAATTTTTTCCTTGATCACAAAGCCAACACAAGGCAAAGCCAGCATTTGAACCCACAGAAATTTACCTTCAAAACCACATCCTTAACTGTAACTTCAGAATTCCAGACACACATGAGCAAGTAACGTTGGGCACGCACACAGTGGAGAGGGAAGTAGGATCCTCCTACCGTCCTTGAAATTGCAGTTTTCCCAGGGCAGGGAGATGGAAGAAGGTGGAGCCGGGAAGCCTGGCACCAATTTTGACGGCAGCACGTCTCCTTCCCAGCTATCCTGGTGGGAGAGGAGTTAGGGCTCATTGAGCAATGCTGGGCAGTTCTATTCAAGCATGACAGCTGCAAATGATCCCACCAGAGTTGGCTTGTGGACATGAAAGAGAACTCCGAAGAAGATGAGCAAGCGAGGGTTTTATTAACCCAGGAGCTGCTGACTTCACTGTCGTCCGAATGAGGGCTAGAGTTTTCAGGAAGAGGATGGAAGATCCAAGCATAGTTGCCATAGGATGGGAAAAACAAAAACAAAAGAATAGAAACACAGAAGTGTTGTAACAACAGTAATTGAATAGAGACACTTAAAGGAAAAATAAAGAGAACGTAGATTCAACATGACCTGGAAGTGTTACGTTTAAACAGGGAACCAGATCCAGCGCAGATTCCAGGCTCCGGGGATGAGATTTGAGAGGGGAAAAATGGCCTGTTTAAAGCCAAACACCTGTGGAACTGTCTCATTAGGCAAACCACATTTCGGCGTGTTGCTGGTTGGGTAGAGACACGTGAGAATTTTGGTTGGTGGCACTGGGCTGGTGATAGGTCCGCTGTGAATGTGGGGCCCACCTTGGCCTAGGCCTCCAGCTGCCGCTGCTGCACAGGGAGGTGCCTGAGTCGGCTGTGTAGCCACCGCTGGGTCTTCCCAGCGATCTCCTATGTTGTGCTCATTGCATCACGCTCTTTCTAAAGCACAGGTGCAGAGATGGTGGTGTAGGAAAGTCCAGCGATTTGACTAAAGCCTTGGAGAGCTTTGATTGGAGACCCCCAAGCTGCCACCCCTGACACACACTTTTAGTTTGCAGAGCACTTGCGGTGTTCACTACACCAACATTCAGTGCTTTTAACTCGGCTGCCAAGGAATGGCTCTCTTAAAAAATTCTTGCTGTCCACAGAGTGGACTGACTAAAGAACTGACTACAGATGCACATCTGCCCTAACACTTGTAGTAGAATGTGTTGACGACAACATTTTAACAGTAACAAATGTTATACATGGGATCAATGTTTCCCCACGTCTGTCGGTGTCTGCAAGATTCATACACGTGACCCTAGGACCCAATGGAGAAAAACGTGGAATGTTTACATGTTTGAAAAGCTCTAGATTACATAAATGTAAACAGATTTATTTACCATGTGATTTCCCAAGACATTTAATATGCTTTCATATTCTAGGAATATCTAAAAGACAAATGTAGCAAACAGTGTTCCCAAATACATTTGACTATGTAGCACCCCCAGCCACCACCCCCCACACTCATATATTTTTAGGTGCACTCATGGGGACAGCATTTGGTGAAACATTTGGAAAAACACTGGCCTAAACAGACCCAAATTCCAGCAAGATGAACACAGCTTTTCTGTATTTCATCTTGTTTAGAGGAGGTTGCAGAAATTTCCTGAAGACCAGAGTTTTGTAGATGAGACCTCAGCACCTGTCATACTGGGAGAGAGAAAACAGATTTTCATGCTCTGGCCATTCAGTGCTTTACCAAAGTAATTATACTCGAGTGAAGATCTGAAGCAAATAAAGTTGAAGCCACAGGGTATTCATCAAGGTAAATTAGCCACAGTGAATACTCACTGCATCATGGACAGCAACGAAGATTAGGAAGCTGTGAAAACATCTGCCAAAATCATGTGTATGAAAGGTGGTTTCTCATGTTTGCAACTTCCTTGGAATCATAGGTTACTTTTCCAAGCACAGACTGGTTGCTGCATTGACCGTGCCATTGGGGCACCTGGGCAGACTGTGCACTCTACCAGGACGGAGCTCCCTGATCCACAGGGCCAGGTGAGGCCCCAAGGATGGACCACGGGACTGCAGGAGCTCCTGACTCCGAGGTCTTTGGTCAGCTCTGATCGTGGGAGTGATGTTCTTCCTGCGGTCTATAGCATCTCATTGTCTATTTTTTGTCAGTACCATTCTTCCCAAAGGTCTTTGCTCCCTTTCATAGTTTCACATCATTAACTTTCAACACCAAGTTTACTTCAGTGACCTTTACCCAGACCTTCTCTTAGTTGTGCTTATTTCACCCACTTCACAATTCACTGATTACTTCTTGTTCAATGTCTTACATGTAAAAGGTCAACTAAACACCCTTGCTTTGATCGTCACCTACTATAAATTGTCCTTATCACAGGACGGTCTTCTCCATTTTCTAGTTGCTTCTGATATATTTGGGATGTTTTCTGTTTCTTTTTTCATATTTTATCTGTGTACATAAAACACCCCATGTCTGAAGGCCTACATCCTACACGTGTAACATGAGTGAGGATTTTTAATGCATAAAATATGTCTGTATTAAGCTGATTATAAACAAAGCAGTTCGGTGGGGCAATTAAAGGCTCAGTTTGTGGGACAGCCTGTCAGGGAATGAAGAGCTTCTTAGCTGTAACTCTGGACAAGTGACAAATCTTTCTGTGCCTCATTTCGCCACCTACAAACTGGGGAAAATATATTACCTATCTCATTTGGTTATTACAAGAATTAATAGAATTAACATATATACGTGGCCTACAATAGCACCTAAACGCACTAAATGCTATTACTTATTAGCTATTATTATTTCTACCATTTAAATTAAACAAAAGCATCTTTGCTCTGGCAACATGACTCAGTGGTTGAAGGGTTGTCCCATACATCAAAAGGTTGCATGTTCAATCCTAGGTCAGGGCCCTTACCTGGGCTATGGGTTCCACCCCCAGACAGGGCATGTATGGCGGCAACCAATCAATCTTTCTCTCACTGGATGTTTCTCTTTCTCTCCCCCTCGCTCTAAAATCAAACATATCCTCAGATAAAGATGAGTGCAAATAAATTAATTAAATAACAAAAGCATCTTCAAATAAAGTGTGGAGATTTTTTTTTAAAACAGAAGAAAGAAAAGGAAAAAAACATTGCCTCCAGCCCCTTTTTAAAAAGATATTTTTCTGTTTCTTGAAGGCCCCGATTACAGAAAGGATCACCTACCTCAAGTTCAACAGCATACCTCGTACATAGGAGAGAAGCGTTTGACTCTGGAGAGAACTGGAGATCTCAGCTATTTATGGAGGCCTGCCTCACACATAAGCTTACCAGCAAAATATAAACATGAATATGTTGGTGAAATTGGCTGGGGAATACCGGAGTATGACTTTATCAACAAAACAAGGCTGAAGAGTGGCTTTCACATCAAGGTATTGCTCTTAAATTGATGTTCTTCATAGCGTACTGTTGTCTGCTTTGGATTCTTCCTGAGTTTGTTTCCATAGGAAACATCATGTTCTTGGTCTGTCGTGGAGAAATAATGGCATTTGAGTTTTGCAGAAAAGTAAATGTGCGGAGAAATGTACGTGCCACCACCCTGCCCGTTTAGCACCCTTAATCGGTGAGAGGAGAGGTGTGAAGAAAACGAGCCTGTGGGCAATTCAAAAGCATTGGTGTTTGGCGTGGGGGAGGCGTTCAGATTCACATTTATGCTGCGACTTTCAGACACACCGCCCCCTCCCAGCGCCGTTCTGGGAGTGGGTGGTGTAAAAGCAGGCTGTGCTGGATGCTGGGTGGCAGCATCCACAGAGCTGACGAACAAGTCTTAGATCTCTAAAATCCACCGTGTGGGTAGTGCCTCCAAATGAGGTAATCCAGAGGGTCCTTAGAAACCTTGGTGATGCGGATGCAGGGTGAGCCCGTGCGGTCGCCTCTGTAAAGGGGGACACAGAGGTGATTTTAGGAGTAAGATCTGAGAATTCAGGCTTTTTCCCAGGCAGGCCTTTGCATTACCTGAAAATGGAATACATATCAAATATGTAATAACTGAATTTCCTTGAATCTTAAGGCAATAGAGTACAGCCTCATACACTAAAGGTTAACCACAGGAAAAGCCTTTTTCTGGCCCAACCTGTACAACAGTACAGCAAAGTGATTGGGTGCTCAGTCTCTGAAATCGGACAGACTTCGGTTCACATCCTGGTTCGGAGGCAGGTCTGGCTCTGTGACCCTGGACTGGGGAATTCACCTCTCTTTGTCTCCCTACACTCCTTTGCCACAAGGCAGAGTTTGGAGGGCCCACTTCCGAAAATCTCCAAATTTCCTTTCTGCTTCAGCCACCTACTAGCTGTTAGTGGCCTTAGGCAAGTTCCTTAACCTCTGGGCTTCAGTTTCTTCATGACAAATCTTGGTATTTAACTTATCGAGCTGTTATAAACATTAACCAAGTTCATGTTTGCTAAGTGCTGGGAGCAGTGCCTGGTTCATACCAAGCACCCTATGTGTTTACCATTATCACTATGTTGTGAGGATTAAATATGAGAACACTCGGGAGGCACTAAGCATGATGGTTGACATCCAAATTTCAGCTCTTAACACTGTGGTTATGTCAATTACCAGTACTGCGGTTGTGGTTAGTGTTGCTTAGAGACAGTGAAACAGAATGAATGCCTAGTGTCATCAGCTGTGTCCGGTTCCACTTAGGCCCTATAGATGAAGATCAGACATTTGATGAAATATCAAAACTGGCCACCAGCAGGGAGAAAACAGCCCCAGAGCAAGGCGGCAGCTGGTCTGAAGGGAGTCCAGGACTTCCGTTGCCTTGTGGCTTCTCTGTGGCGGATGCCCTGGTTGGGTAGACAGCCCTCAATCTGTCTGACCATCTTGAGTGTGTATAGCTTCTCTTCCTTCTTCGTCTTTAACTGAACACATTTGTCTGCTCAAAATGAGGGTTTTTCAAGCCAGCAGGATGTCAGCCACAACTTCATCTTCCATTTATCCCATTTCTTTCGCTCCTATTTCACAGGTGGCTTTAAGCCTTTAAGTCACTTCTCTGCTTGGCAGCCCTGTCCTCTGAACCCCTGTGGGACTGAGTGTGAGCTGGACAACAGTTTTCCTCTCTCAGCTCATGGTGCACACAGAAGCTGGTCTGGGTTGACAAAAGTTGGAATGGAATGTTGCGTCTCATCTGTGCACTCCCTGGCCCTGGCATTTTGATAGTAGTTACTTGTCTTCATTAACAATCTCAAACCATATCTTAAAGGGTTTCTTGGCCCTGGCTGGTGTGGCTCAGTGGATTGAATGCCAGCCTGCAAAACTAAAGGGTTGCTGGTTTGATTCCCGGTCAGGGTACATGCCTGGGTTCCCATTAGGGGGTGAACAAGAGACAACTGAACGATATTTCTCTCCCTCCCTTCACCTCTCTCTAAAAATAAATAAATAAATAAAATCCTTTAAAAAAACAATTAAAAGCTTTCTTGAACTTAGAAGTTTATAATGAGAGCAAAAGATTCACTGAAAATGACTGCACACATTAGCCAAGAACCCAATATAATTTTCTGATGTGAAGACCTGGGCTTTGTCACCAGGGCTGCTCATCTCAGTACCCCACACATGGCTTCCCCTCCACACCCAGGGCAGATGGCAATATTCATGTTTCAGTCTCAGGCTAGGGCTCCTTGTCAATCCAGTGCCTCATGCAGCTACTTCACGTCAGACTTGGCACAAACTGACGTTTGAGCTGATACATCCATATACACACACTCCATGCGTAAAAACAAACTCCTAACTACAAGTAACATAGGAGAGAGGCACTGGTAAATTCCCTACACTGATGTAAGTTAATGAAATGTCTCGGTCCACATCCTGTTCCCTCTCTGGTTCCCTGTGATTGGTAGACCTCCGTCATACCCTCTGCCATCCGTACCCTTAATAGTCCCAGTGAAGACGTCATTTGGTTTCAGTCTAACTTCAGGGACATCTCGGTACCTCTCGCCGCAATTGCTGGAGCTTTGATTTTGAGCACAAACCTTTACCTGGTGGAGTTTTATAGCCTGCGCAGCTGCTTTTCCTAATTGACTGCTCCGGGTCTGCACGAGGCTGGCAGTGCAGACAGCTCAGGCTCCTCCAGTAGACACATGGTAGAAGGCCTGGACCAGCTGCTTCCTACCTGGGATGGCCTCTCCTATTTGGGGCACTAGGAGGGGCTCCGTAGATCGTCTGGATTTTGGTAAAAAGATAATAACTTCCAGGTTGAGCAACTCGTGAAAAATATCCCCACATTGCAAAGGTCAGTACAAATCACAATATCAGGTTTCTCTTCTGGCTCTTTTTGTGTTTAGGTATTTCCTACTCTCTCGTATGTGGGTTACAATGCCGTAATGATGTATGTGGACATAAGCCAACAAACATCACTGCTTTTGTTATTATCTCAAATTTAAGAGCAGTACATTCTTTTTTAAAATGGACTTGGCCTCTGCCAAGATCTATGTGTTGTTTCTGGAAGAATATGTGGAGACCATTAAAACAATTCCTTCGGTTTCAACCCCAGGCTAAACTGAGGACCATTCTGATGGCTGCTTAGCTGGGCATGTGTCCTCTTTGCTGGCCTCTCTTCAGTCCAAACCTGGACAGTATCAGCTGGCTTCTGCTCCTGCCCTCTTGTGACCTTGTGACCAAATGATTTAAGTCATTTGATTTTTCCCACAAAAACAATGTTATAACGGACTTGATGACTAACTCTTCATAGATGTGAGCCCAAGAAAATATTAAATCAATTAATCACAACATATAGTACAACCAGTATATCATCATACAGTATAACAACCTGAAAAATCTACAGATGGTAATAAGGAGAACTATGGGAACCTATAAATATATTTATACATAATACGTACAGTATAATGAAAGTAAAGTCTTCAAAGTTTTGAAACTTCTGTCTCACTTATAATTGGGCACAGGTTCCATTATTGTCACACTCAGAGGGCTCGTTTGTGGCAGTTTTATGGACATTTGAACGGACTGCTGACGAGACGTTGACTTTCCTGATGGCTGTTGAATAAACGGCCCCACAGGCGCTTGTTTCAGCATTTTCTCACTGTGATTTATTTAGAGAAAGTAAACACTAAAAAAGCTGCCACCGACTGAGTATTTTACTATGTGAGGAAGGTACTCTGATTATTCCCAGTTTACAGATGAGGAAACTGAGGTATAAGCAGGTGAGGCTCCTTGCCTGTGACCACATAGCTGGTAAATGTGGAGCCAGGAATTCAGCCTCAGGACTTAGAGGGAGGACCACGTGTATGAGGCGAAAAAGGAAGTCGGAATGTTTGTTATCGTTTTTCTTTGATGACGGGCCTGGCTGGGGTCAGTTCCAGTTGCCTTCTCTCATGAAATACGCATTCTTTCTCCGTGGTTCCCTCGATTTTCTCCCAGCTTCCCATTCTGCATTCTTTGCACGCAGTGTGCTCCATTCATAATATTAAAATCAATTACTAGTAGCTATCATGCTCATATTTGATATAGTAAGATGTAGCTTAGTAATAATTATTTTTGAATTTTTATTTAGTGGACACTTCATAGTGTTTCAAAATGGATGATCAAATACAATCTTCGGTATTATGGAAAAAAAACAGAGAAGACAGTGAAGTCCTACCAAAGTGCACCATCTTTCCCCATCCCAGCCTGACCCTGTGCATCCTTCTAAATGCTCCGCCTTCACACGATGGTTTCCAAGAAAATTTTCAAATCCACCTGGGGAAAAAAAATATTGCCAGTGTGGGGTTGATGAGGATGTAGACTGCCAATCACATATTTCGGGATTTCTGGGTGTCTTTTACCCCCAAATTCCCCATTTATCTTTGGGTTCCTTTGGATGAATCGCAGTCACCAATATTGAGTCTCACACCCCTGGTCTGTATTGATAGTCTAATCAACACAGAAAAATTTTAAAGATAATAAAGCTGCCATTTTCAACCAAGTTATACAAGCAAAATAAAGAGTAGCTTTTCTAAAATTACACGTTTGGGTTGCTGCTGTTCCTCCCCAGATGGGTTTGTGTTCAGTTCTCACTTAATACTTCTTAGAGTTATTTGCAGCCTAACGGTTTGTGGTTTAATGTGAAAATAATTACATTAGCACCTTTCATCCTGAAGTGCTGTATGTGCATTTTCTGATACCGCGGGAAGTCTTCAGTAAGGGAATGAACGCCACATGCTGACCACATGTGAGGGAGGAGAAACATGGGTTAAAGAGGACAAATAACCTTTCTTCCTCTTGAAAGTAACATATCAACACCATTAACCTCCTTATCCACAGATGTTATATTGTTCTTTTTTTTTTTTTTTTACAAAATTTGGCTCTATGAGATTCCTCAAATAAATAGAAGGAAGTACTTTCCATATAAAGTTTTACTTGTTTCTGAATGTATGTG